CTCATTGATGTTGTCAAGGCTGATGAAAAATAAGTACATGTTCTGTGCTTGTGATACTGCAATACTAACAGTCTGTATGTACATGGGTCAGTTAGCTACACTGCTAGCATTGGGCCACAGCCTTTTGTGGTCATGAATATGTGCACATAAGGATGTGTTGGCTATTTGCATACTGTAGAATGACACGTTTTGATGATTGTTCCCCCTGCTACATCAATGCGGGAGGGTGGGGAATTAGTTATTATTAGTATTGTGAGTATTATTCCTTTATTTATTTATTTATTTGCATCAATGTATATTTCCATGACAAATACCAGTTCAAGTAAATGCGACTAGATTGGTCCTGTCTTTTTCCTGCATGCACTCTGATCAGCGCACCATTGTGTTGAGAGTAAACCCTTTCCACAAACAGAGATGAAAGTCCTCCGGATTTACCGGAATTCCGGGTTTTTCACATTTTTATGAAAATCTCTCCGGAGAATTGAGGATAATTTGCCTAAAATTAATCCGGATATTAGTTGACCATATTGAACGAAGACGCGTTTGAGTTCGTTATTTTGCTTTCACGAGCGTAGCCATGTTGAGACACTAACACTAGTAACAGTAGAGATTTTCGTCTCTTTATCAACACATTTGCTATACCCCAGTGGAACGAATAAAAGACACCGTGGACAAGACAGTTGTCGTAAAAAATATATGTGGACAAAAAGGGACACACACAGATTGGCAGAAAAACGTGTCCGTCCGACTTCGAGTGTCGTCTTGGCGAGCTTAGCTTAGCTGTTGTTGTGTGTGACGTTGGGTGTGTGACGTCGTTGCGTCGGCGCTTATTGGTTGAAATCAAAAGACGCATTTGCGTACATGTTCGCGCTGACGCACGCATAGTAGAGAGCAGCGGACGAGCTCGAGTGGCATCGCCACATCAGTAATACCCTCGCCTCACATTCTCATGGCCTCGCCATATCTCTGAGATTTTGAAATTTCGGCGAGAACGGAAACCACAAAGGGTGCATGAGCCCGATCACTTAACTTGATTTGCAGGCCCGAGCCCGAAGCAAACCCGAGATTTCATATTTTATTTGTGAGGAGGAGCGGTGATTTG